AGGTTCCATACAACACACACAAGCACTATCTGAATGTTTAAATTTACTCAACATACAAAACATTCAGACGTATGACTATGCATACTATATATATATACAGTGAACCCCCGACTTACGAAGGCCTTGTCTAATGATAAAATCAACTTACGAAGCGTTTCAGCGTAAAAAATTTCCCCCCACGTACGAACAAAAACTCTACTTACATCATTCATCCCGAATGCGTCCACGCGTCCCTTTGGCCTGAGTGCACCTTAGCTGCCCTGCCTTCAGTTAGTGTGCCAATGTTTACAAGCCATTGAGGTCATTCCCACACATATATTCGGTACATTTTGTATTATTCCAGTGTTTTTAGTGCTTGTAACTGCTAAATAAGCCACCATGGGCCCAAAGAAAGCTTCTAGTGCCAACCCTTTGGCAAAAAGGGTGAAAATTACAATCGAAAATGAAGAAAGAAATTATCACAAAATATGATAGTGGAGTACGTGTCTCCGAGCTGGCCAGGTTGTACAACAAACCCCAATCAACCATCGCTACTATCTTGGCCAACAAAAAGGCAATCAAGGAAGCTGTTGTTGCAAAAGGTGCAAATATCTTTATGAAACACAGATCGCAAGTACTGTACTCGAAGATGTTGCGAGACTGTTATTGGTGTAGATAAACGAAAAACAGATATCAGGAGATAGCATCTCTCAAGCGATCATATGTGAAGAGGCAAGGCAGTTGCATGACGATTTAATTAAAAAAATGCCTGCAACTAGTGGTGATATGAGTGAATTTAAAGCCAGCAAAGGTTGGTTTGAGAGATTTAAGAATTGTAGTGGCATACACAGTGTAATAAGGCATGGTGAGGCCGCCAGTTCGGACCAAAAAGTGGCTGAAAAATATGTGCAGGAATTCCAGGGGTACATAGGGGCAGAAGGATTGCAACCCCAACAAGTGTTTAACTGTGACAAAACAGGCCTGTTTTGGAAGAAAATGCTACATTACACAGGAGGAAAAAGCACTCCATCCTATGAAGGACAGGGTTACAATAATGTTGTGTAGTAATGCTAGTGGGGATTGCAGAGTGAAGTCTCTACTCGTGTATCACTCTGAAACTCCCAGTGTGTTCAGGAAAAACAATGTCGTCAAGGATAATTTGTGTGTAATGTGGAGGGCAAACAGTAAGGCATGGGTCACTAGGGACATTTTCTATGACTGGTTTTACCATGTGTTTGGCCCCACTGTGAAAAATTACCTCCTGGAAAATAAATTGGACCTTAAGTGCCTTCTGGTATTAGACAATGCTCCTGCTCATCCTTCAGACTTGCCAGAGTGAATTTCGGGGGAGTTGAGTTTTATTAAAGTAAAGTTTTTGCCTCCTAACACCACTCCTCTCCTCCAGCCCATGTACCAGCAGGTCATTTCAAATTTCAAAAAACTATACACCAAAGCAATGTTTCAAAAGTGCTTTGAAGTGACCTCAGACACTCAATTGACCCTAAGAGAGTTTTGCAAAGGTTACTTTAGTTTCCTCAGTTGCATAAACCTTATAGGTAAGGCTTGGAAGGGAGTGACTAACAGGATCTTGAACTCTGCTTGGAGGAAATTGTGGCCAGAATGTGTAGAAGAGAGGGATTTTGAAGGGTTTGGGGCTAACCCTCAGGAGCCTATGTCAGTTGTGGAGTCTATTGTGGCATTGGGGTTGGAGGTTAGTGGGGAGGATGTGGAAGAGTTGGTGGAGGACAACGATGAAGAACTAACCACTGATGAGCTGCAAGAGCATCTGCAACAGCAAGAGGCCACAACTGAGGAAATTGCTTTAGAGGAGGGGAGAGAGAAATGGAGGAAGTTGTTTTCTTCAAAGATTAAGGAAATTTGTGCAAAGTGGATTGATGTGCAAACCTTAATGGAAGAAAATCACCCTGACACAGCTATTGCAAGCCGTGCTGGTGACTTTTACAATGACAATGTTGTGACCCACTTTAGGAAAATCTTAACCCTTTCAGGGTCCGTGCCGTAGATCTATGGCTTTACGTTCAGGGTCCAAACCGTAGATCTACGCCATGAGCTCAGCTCTCTCTGATAAGCTGTCAGCAGTAAATTTGGGCCTAAATATGAGAGAATACATCTATGTGGTATGTGTGCACCACATAAAACAACTCCTGCAGCACACACTGCATAATGAGAGAAAAAAAATTGAGACTGTAATTTTCGATTAAAAAAGCGACTTTGCAGTGCTTTTTCGTATGTTTTTTTAGTTGAATTTGCAATTTCTTGGTCTCATTTGATAGAATGGAAGATATACTACAGAAACCGAGAAGATTTTGATTGGTTTAAGTATTGGAAATGGCCTGAAACTGAGCTCAAAGTAGCAGAAATGTTAAATTTTTGCCCATGTTCAAGAGTAAACAAATGACCTCACAAGTCTAATACATGACAGCTGGTGGGCCTAATATACATTCACAAATGTGATGATATTATTTATACAATTATTACAGTATTGCATAACAGTAAATCTTCTATTTTTTGGTTTGAATAAAAATTCATTATGTGAATAAAAAATCGGAATGGAATTCATTTGTAAAGCCTGAAAACGTAACTGAGGAACAGAGGAAATGTTAGTTTAGTGCCAGGAATGCCTGCATTGTTTATCCTGGACCCTATTTTGAAATTGGAATATTTTGAACGTTGCATTAAATTGGCCAAATTACCAATTTCTGGTCACTTTGTTTTGTTGTTGAAATAGTTGACTTGGCGATTTCTTGTGCTCAATCGATAGAATAGAAGTAATACTAGTGAAATAGCTAAGAATTTGGTTGACTTTAATACTGTAATTGCCCTAAAATGGGAGTCAAAGTCGGCAAAATTGCTGATGCATAAATATCGCCGACACATCAAAATTCGCAAGAGCATAATTTCGTCAATTTTCCATCAAATTTTGTACTTTTTGTTTTATTACCTTCAGAAAAAGATTCTCTACCATTTCATAAGAAAAAAAAAAATTTATCTTTTGAAAATTCTTGGACCCTGGTGCGCACTTTGAAATTTGCTCCACTTTCTTGGTTTGCCTGCCTCCCCTCTCATCTGCAACTGCTTGACAGAGTGGAGAACAGAGCAAGATGTCTCATCTCTCGCCTGGACCCATCCTGGATAGATCTGTCATTTCAGCAGAGCCTTCAACATAGGAGGGATGTGGGTGGCCTTACTGTTATGTACAAGGCCAATATTGTCAAAGTACCACACTTGGACCCACTTCGAGGACAGCGTGAAACAAGCTTTTATGCCACAAGATGGGCAGAAAGCAGCAACTTCTCTCTGGCTGTACCCTTCTCCAGAACATCACTCCATCTGAGATCATATATACCCAGGATGACTAGAGTATGGAACACATTCGTACAGCATAATGATGTCAACGAGATAAAGTCAGTTGATCAATGAAAATGCTGGCCCACAGATGGCTCCAATTTCATCCTGTTCCCTACTTGTATGTCTCATAACAATAAAAAATGCTTTTAAATGAGCTGATGTAGGTAACAGCTCCTAGCTTGCCAATAAAGTTAGGAATCCTTAACCTGTAAATAGCTTGTCAATAAAGCTAGGGATCCTTAACCTTGTCAAACCCTGTGTAAAAAAAAAAAAAAAAAAAAAAAAAAACGGAGTGTGAAAGGGAGGCAGGAAGTGTAGCAGGCATGCAGGGAGTGTAGCAGGGGGAACAGGGAGTGTGGAAGGCAGTGTAGCAGGGAAACAGGAGTGTGGAAGGGAGGCAGGGAGTGTGGAAGGGAGGCAGGGAGTGTAGCAGGCATGCAGGGAGCATGCGGGAAAGGCAGGGATGTAGCAGGCGGCGGGGAGTGTAGCAGGCATGCAGGGATGTAGAGGGAAATGGGAGTGTGGAAGGGAGGCGGGAGTGTACGGGAAAGGGGGGGGGGGAAAAAACCCCCAGAGAGAGTTTTGATACCTGAAGTCCTTTTGAGGGATATTCCCCTTCAAACAATAATCAGCCCTCTTCCTCCTCCCTGTTTTCCATAACCCACAGAGTGTTTAAAACTCATTTATTTTATTTTATTTAGTTCTCTTTTTTTTGTGTATGAAAAAACTATAATTAATCTTTAAAAAATGTATTTTTTGTTAATTTTTTGGGGGTGTCTGAACGGATTAATTTTTTTTAATTAATTCTTATGGGAAGTATTGCTTCAAATTTGGGCCCTTTTTTTATTTAGGTGCCTTCTGGAACGGATTATGGCCGTATTCGGATTCCTCTTTTATCCTTTAATTTTCCACTTTTTGACTCAATCTGAGTAGAGACTCTATACAAATAAAACCCAAAAAAAAATAAATGTGTGCCAGAGGGAAAAAGGTTTCTTAATGTGTTTCAAAATATTGTTAAAAAAAACCTGACTTTTATATAAATTTTCCAATAGATTAAATTTAATGCTAGTATATATAAAGCAACCTAATTATCCGATTTCCAAAAAGTATTTGTACTTATGCGTTTATTGACCATTATATTTCTGCCCCCCGTAATTATTACAAATGACTAAAAAAGTCATACATTTTTGAATTATATCTCCCAAAAATAATGCTGCTTTAATATACCCGTAATAGTTTTGTTATTTAAAAATCATCATATTACTAAACTTTTGATTTAGACAACTTTAAATTTTATTACCCTTTAAATAATGTAACTTCAGCTGTACTTTGTCAGGTACAGATTTTAACTTTTTTTCTTGTCTTTCCTGGAAGCTGTATAACCGGGGCCGTCCAAATATAAGAAATAAATGTCCTAAATTTTTCAAAAATACTTGTTTTTGTAAAAAGAAAAAAAATGATTTTGTTATTTTTGCCTGTCTTACATTTCCTACCACACACATCCAGAGCTCATATGTGAACTTGTGAACTATATTTTGAAACAAAATGCAGCTAGTTAAATAGAGTGCACTCTGCTGATAAATGTAAGTGCAGTAAATGAGATTTTTAAGACACTTTGATATTAAAAGTTAAATCTGAACATGTTTCCACAGTGATGGGTGTATGCAAAATGATAAAGATAACTGCAGCTTTACACCTGACCTGACACCTGATAGTAATACCAATGTTACCTCTTCTCTTCTCTCTGTGCCTTTCCTCAAAACAGTAAGTAAACTTTATCATCTGTTCTCCATTTTTCACTTCTGTATTATGGTACATGTATGTATTTTTATTATTGCACTCAGGGATTGCATGCTAAACCCCTATTATTCATACAATGCCAGGAGGAATGGGGGGTAGTCATGTTCGATCCAAGGAAGGGGATGTCAGGTACAATTTCTTGGATAAAGAGACTCACTGGTGTCAAGGAATCTCCCTTGAGGGGTTTGCTACTATAAATCTTCCTCATCCTCCACAAACAGTCCCCTTCTAATGTGTCATTCTCCTGAGTGCTAAAAGTCCTTATTTTCATAGTTAAAATCCCTTAAGTGGTCCATGCCGAGACTAGGAATTGAACCTCTGCTTGTAACTTTAATGTCACTACCTGTAATTTTACCAAGGTAGTTCCTAATTCTTGAACCATAATACTGTTGTATCCTCATCCTCTGCACACACTGCTTCCACATCATTGCATACTAGGGGGTTTTCTTTTGTGCCTAAAACTATTTAATTACATGTAAACTGCATTTTGTATACTGCAGAAAAGAAATAAATTTCTATTGTATAAACACTTCTTTTTTCTTCATCATTTGAATTGACAGGCTAAGAACTGTTATCTTGCCTCAGGTCAATTTAAAGCCCAGTTCTATCTAAGGCATGCATAACAGTTGGCTAACACCCAGGTACCTAATTACTGCTAGGTGAACAGGGGAAACAAATTGAAAGAAACATGCTCAACATTTCCACTCCACTTTTTTTTCCTTGTATTTTGCACTTCAAGATTTGCCATTCTCCTTTCTAAATTCTCTACTCTTCACCCTTTACATCTTTAAGTTTGCCCAAAATGCTCAGCATACAGAGGGGCTTTTGGCATGTACACCCAACTGTTATATTCCTCTGTACAACCATGTAATTTGTCAAAATAAAAAATCTAATCTAATCTAATCTGTCTTCTTTATTATAAGATGTTCCACCAGCAGGACATGTAATATTTACAATCACATTATTCAGTAATGGACCTGCAGTTAATGACAATCTCCTAAAGGATCATAAATCCAACAATTAAGAACACAAACTTGCACAATTTTTAAATTGTTCAAATTGGACCCGGCTTTCATGGCCCAGTAAGCCTGATGCAGTGTTCCACCATTCTTATGTTCTTATGCTATTTTAGCTTTTTCTTCAACTAAGAAAGTTCCCAAATTTCTGTAAATTTTTCATTAGTTAATCCTCAGACTTCTGTATTTGTCCTTATTGTAATTAATGCCTAGCAAACACCAATCAGGGATAGAGCCCTGATTAGTAGGTAGAGGATTGGTTCTTCACAACTTGTGCTAAGTGATCCATGCATGTTTTTAGTAGTTCATGAAAGGCTGGTGAAGCCAGGAGAAAGTGAACCTAGTAATGACCAGTGAAAAGGTGGGGCCAGGAGCTTTGACTCAACCCCTGCAACAACATATAGGTGAGTACTGCATGTACTATGTAATTGATACCCCCACCTCCTACTTCCCCTTTCCTCGACACCTCAAGTGATAAAGCAATAAATACAATAATTCTCTATTGAAAAAGTTTATCCAAGGCTTGTTAGATTATTTTTATTGGAATATTTTGTCATATGCACTCAAGGCAAAGAAATTTTTTAATTATTAATCATAAATAAATTTGCATTTTTTAAACTATAAGTTCAGAAAATGCAAAGGAAGCTTACCCTATACATACAAGTATCAGTTGTAATTTGTAGATAACCTTGTTATGATTTCATTGAAAAATTGTCTGTCAAATTAATTTTTCTATAAATACTATTTCTTCTTTCAACAGACTGACTGTATCCCACTGAGGTAGGGAAGCCCAAAAACACAAAATAATCAAAGGCTTCTCTTTTTAACATGAGAAGGGGTTAATAAATGCTATTTATAATTGAATAATAAAGATATCAAGATAACCATTGGGGGGTCTTTTTTATTAGGTACTCCCCCAGGATGTGAACCACAATATCTAACTAGCTTCACAGCATGTATTTACTGCTAGCTAACAGAGGAAGCAGATGTTAAGATACTTACCCATATGGCCCATTTTATCCAGGGTTCAACCTTATGTACTTTCTGTTGCGAGATTCAGTTTGGTAACTAGGAGAAAGAGAGAGTTCAGTGAGTAATGTGATGTAAAGTTTTACTTAGTGAAATTGATATGTTTACAGTATTTGAAATCAAAATTACTATAGAGTAATTGTAATATTTATATTGCAGGTGATAAATTTTTGTAATTCTACTGATCATGACACTACAGTGCCCACCAAGCATAACCTACTATGTGATAAACATAGCATTCAAGAAGTTATTGATCAACATGACGATATGAAAACGTAAGTCCCAGGTCTTTTGATTTCTCCAACAGTTTCAGATCATTCAGAGCTAGGGTGAGTCCTTGCTTTTTGTGGAAGTCAGCCCTGGAGGAGAGTGTCCTGCAGGGCAACATTTTATTACAGCCATGGATGTTGTTGTCGGTGTTGTCCTGATGGTGACAAGGTCTCCTTGTATGTTGTACATGATCTTGCAATGTACTGCTCGGCATCACATCTATTCTTGGAATAACCAGCCACTGGCTTCAAGTGGCAGTGGACAACATTAGAGTGCAAGCTGTCTCTATTGCCTACTGGTATTAAGCTCAATGGCTGTTCATTTTACCTGTCCCAGGCTAGATAACTTGCTCCTATATGCTACTCCATGGTGTGATCCTTCCCTATGAGCAGTAAAAGACATTTTGGGGGAATTCTTTGTGATCAAGGTCTGATGTGGGCCTCTCACATAAAGAAGCTTAACCCTTTCAGGGTCCGTGCCATAGATCTACGGCTTTGAAGTCAGGGCCCAAACCGTAGATCTACGCCATGAGCTCAGCTCACTCAGATAACCTGTGAGCAGTAAATTTGGGCCTAGATATGAGAGAACACATCTGTGTGGTAAATGTACACCATGTAAAACAAATCCTACAGCACACAGTGCATAATGAGAGAAAAAAAACTGCAACCGTGATTTTGGATTAAAACAGCCACTTTGCAGTGTTTTTTTGTATGTTTTTTACAGTTGTACTCACGATTTCTTGGTCTCATTTGACAGAATGGAATATATATTACAGAAATAGAGATGATTTGGATTGGTTTTAGTACTGAAAATGGCTTGAAACTGAGCTCAAACTAGCAGAAATGTTCAGTTTTTGCCGATGTTCAAGAGTAAACAAATGTAGTCACGAGTCCAATACACATCAGCTGGTGGGTCTAATATACATTCACGAATGTGCTGATATTATTTATATAATTATTAAAACACTGCATTACAGTAAATCTTCAATTTTTTTGGTGTGAATAAAAATTCATTATGTGAGTAAAAAAATCAAAATAGAATTAATTTGTAAAGCCTGAAAACATAACTAATGAACAGAGGAAATGTTAGTTTAGTGCCAGGAATTTTTGCATTGTTTATTCTGGACCCTATTTTGAAACTGGAATATTTTGAACTTTGTGTTAAACTGGCCAAATTACCAATTTCCAGTCACTTTATTGGGTAGTTGAAACAGTTGACTGGGCAATTTCTTGTGTTCAATCGATAAAATAGAAGTAATACTAGCGAAATAGCTAAGAATTTGGTCAAATGGAATAATGTAATTGGCCTAAAATGGGAGTCAAAGTCAGCAAAATCGCTGATGTGTAAATATTGCTGATGCATCAAAATTTGCGAGAGAGTAATTTCGTCAGTTTTCCATCAAATATCATAGTTCTTGCTTTATTACCTTCAGAAAAAGATTCTCTACCATTTCATAAGAAAAAATAAGAAGAAAAAAAAACCTGAAAATTCTTGGACCCTGGCTGTCACTCTTGAGATTTGGTCTCTGGATCCTGAAAGGGTTAAAGTGGATGCTCTGTTGGTGCTAGACATTCTAAAGTTGCTCTGTCACCTTATGCGAGGGCAGATCAGTGGGCAGATCAGTGTATGTGGCCATTTACCATATCAGACTGGAGTATGGCTGCCAAATACGTATATAGTACTTGGCCATCTCTCCCCTGCTGTGCTTTCTAAAGCTTGTCCATCACCCAGGGACAAAAGCTTGCATGGATGCATTCTTTACTTTTCTTGTTGAGTGTGTCTGTGTTGCATCTGGTGAGTTGTTCCTGGATCTCAGCAGCAAGGAGCTAGGCCTGTGCTACCTATTTGTGGTTCTGCATACATCTGGCAACCCAGCTTAAGCTGCAGTCTTTGTGGAGGAGGATGAGAGGGTTCCCTTTGCTCGAACTGTGTTTAGTGTTTGGATGTGGACAGCTCTATTGTGGCTTTGATATGTCTGAGGTCGGCCTCTCATTTTGCCCTTCTTGGACAATGCTCGAGGTATGTCATTGTACGCAGTAGATGGGGGATCCCTGACTTTCAACTATAAAGGACTTTACTGATGGGTCAAAGAGCTAGGGTAGTGTTGATTTTTCAATGCCAGTAAGGATGTGTATTAACCCCTTGACTGTCGCAACTGACGGAATTACGCTCTTGTGAAGTTAGCAACCATGGCAATATTTACAAATCGGCGATTTTGCCCACTTTGAGCCCTATTTTCGGCTAATTCCATTGTTCCAGTCGACCAAACTCATAGCTATTTCTTTAGAACTCCATTTTTTCTATCGATTGGGTACAAGAAACTGCCCATTTACCGATTTCAACTACCCAATAACATGGTCAGAAATTTGCAATTTGGCCAATTTCACAAAAATTAAAAAATATGACAATGTCAAAATAAGGTCCAGAATGAACAAAGCAGACATTCCTGGCTCTAAAATAACATTTTCTTTGTTCATCAGTCATGTCTCCAGGCCCCTCTGATATTACTCTTGCTTTCTATTTTGAATTTTTATTCAAACAAAAATAGAAGATTTACTGTTATGCAGACTACTGTAATACTGTAATAATTGTACAAATAATGTCAACCCATTCATGACTGCATATTAGAATGGCTAGTTGGACATTTATTGGACAACGACATCATTTGTTTACTTTTGAACATTGGCAAAAATAAAATATTTCCCCTATTTTGAGCTCCATTTCAAGGTTCTTTTTATAGTAAAACCAATCAAAATCACCTCTATTTCTATAATATGTTTTCCATTCTATCAAATGAGACCAAGAAAACGAGAATACAACCATAAATACTATACGAAAATAGACCACAAAGTTGGCATTTTAATTAAAAAAACGGTCTGAGTTTTTTTTTCTCATTATGCATTGCATGCTCCAGGATTTTTTATATGGTGCACACTGACCACACAGACCCATTCTTTCACATGTGGGCCTACCAGCTTTCTCCTGCTTGATTTGAAGCCGCTAGAATTTACGAGTATATATACGTCAAACAGGGTTTACCTCGTAAGATGTTTTATATACAACCAAAATAGTCAAAGGGTTAAGCACAGTTAATAAATGAATCCTCTGTATCTACTGTGGATCCCATTCAATCCTAATGATCTTAATCCTGAGTGAGAGTGAACCAAGTTGGACCCTAGTTCATTTCTACTCAGATTGAAAATATTTTTCTTCTTTTTCCCTGGCCTAGTATGCTTCTTTTCATCTGTGGTCTGAAAGGTTTAGGTGTAGTTAGCCTGTCTCCAGATGTCACACAAGGATATGGAGTTTTGTTGGCATCCAGTCCATGACAGTGAGATACTGAGGTGAAGACGCAATAATGAGCTGCTTTACAACAGACTTCTGCTTTTACATGACCTCCTGGCCACATACAGTAACTTATTCTTGGGAAGTAGAAGGCCTGGTGAGTCCTACAGACAGAAACAAGTTATGCAGGGTTTGGCAGGATGTGGGTGTTTGAGTCAACTTTCTTTCGACTGGGATTGGGCACATATATCTCACCCATAGGCACCTGTTTGCAAGTCCTCTTGCCTCTGCTTTGTAGTTTGTGACATGCAGCAGCTGACTGTGAAACTGTAACTGCTTGCCTCTGACTTAGGCTTTTTTTTTTTTTTGGGTCTTGGTTATTAAAATTTACCTGGGTGCCTGTAAGGATCTTAAAGGGCTTTCTGAAGTTTTTGGATATTAACAGGTTAATAAAATTTGTATTTAATGCTGCTTATTTTTTTTTTAGGTATTATGGTATTTATTTTGTGTTGTACATTTTATTCAAGTTCTTTTTTAATTGTTTGTTCTTTATACTTTCAGTGTTTTTTGTGTGTGTTATACAGTATTTATTTTTATTCCCAAGAGTGCTGAAATGATTCATCCATCTAGTTCAAAATAAAAAGCATTCTTCAAATTCAAAACTAAATTCCCCCCTACTAAATAGAACTAAAGTAAAAAGTATGTAACCATATTTCCTGTACACATAAGTACAATTTACGTAATTAATTTTTTCTACTCACAATTTAAGCAGTAATATATTTTACCTTGTTCTTTAGGATTTAAGTGTTTATAATCCTCTTCCTTTAGAATTTAGGTAAAATTTTGTCCCTGATTGCTTTCTCAGAATCCCGGGGAACACTTTGATGAACACGAACTTTTCAGTGGTAATGGCACCTCCTCCTGGGGATACAATTGTCTTCGTGCTGGACTACAGTATCATCATGAGAAACGTGATTTATCATGGATAGGAAGGAAGGAATAAAACTGAAGTGGGGAAAGGAAGAGGGAAAGGAAACAGAAAAATGAGTACAGTAGGGCCCCACTTATACAGCAGGTTAGGTTCCAGGCTACCGCCAGAAAGGAGAATGACATTTTTTCCACCTATAAATGAATGCATATAAATGTTAGATAACAAGTTTATACTAACATATATTAAGTAGCAATCGAACTAGGCATTAGAAAACAACAAAAAGTAAAATACACACAGTTCACTCATTACTTACCTCAAAATATTTGTAGTCTTAATATAGGGGAGATGAGTAGTATATATATTATTTGTATTTTATAGTTATCTGTTTACAATAATGTCTTATCATTGATTTCATCATTGCTTAGTTAATCTTAAGTTAATTTTAAGCCAGCCCGTAATGCTATGCATATAAGTGGCTTTGGCATGCTGCTCTTACCTGTATTTTTTGTCCCTTTCTGTTTGTATGCTAAATTTTATTGTAAGAAGTAAATTTTGTGGTGGGTATGGTAGACCCAGGCCACCCCACCCACACGTAATATACTATGACATTTTAACCCCTAAAAACTGTCCAAACGTAGATTTTATGTTACGTGTGTAGCGCTCCGCCCTTGATTTTCTCCTTTTAAAAGCACGTAAAAAAAAAACTAGATCTACATTCAGAGCAGGATAGAGCAAATGTAGGTCTACGTTTGGACAGTATAAGGGTTAAAGTGCCCCAGAGCAATAAAATGCATAACGGTTCACTCATTACTTACTTTAAAATACCTGTAGTCTTAATGTAGGGGGAGAGGTGAGTAAAAAAAGATGAAATGAATAAACGGGAGAGAAAGAACGAGTAACTGAGAGGGGACGAGACATGGGAGTACATAAACAAAAAGACGAACGTTCTGGTTTTGGTTCATACACGTTTGTATTACACCATAATACAAACACTGTACATTTTGTACAAACTGTCTCCACTTTGGTACAGTAGCATAAACAAAGGCAGGACTCCCCTTTCACATAACACAACCATTTTTAGAAGAAATGATAGGAAAATCTGATAAAAAGAATATTCAACAGTCTATCCTATGGCTATCTGCTGAGAAGGGCTATCATCTGTCTGGATGGTTGAGGCAAGGATGGCTCTGTATAGCAGAAGGCTCTCTCCCCACCTTATTAGTTTTTTGACAGCTTGAAGAAAAAGAGGTAGGGGAGGGCAGGGAAGTATAACTACACAATATTAAAAGAAGTTAACAGCTGCTGCAGTTTTGGTTTACCAGTTACTACCAATTAATTCCAACTACTACTACTTAATACTTACTATAACTACTACTACCAGTGCTTCAGATGGTTCATTGTCACACCTTGCATCAAATTTTGTGCTGGAATGCAATAATTTAAAGCATTCACAGACAATTTAGAAATCTCAGTAAGCCCGAGTGGTTGAGGGGAGAGGACGGTGTTGTTGAGTGAGGTCCCAGGCCTTCTATCTCAGAACTGCTTATTTCACCCGAGTGATAACTCATCATGCAACTCGTATCGTTGTATCACAGCTTTCATTGCTGCTCGAACTCTTATGTGTGAACTGTGACTAGTGTTATAACCTAGTGAAACACAAAATGTTGATTTGAAGTGGTCTAGAAGGCCTACCTTCAGTATCCCTCGCCTGCCTCCCCTTTCCCTTTCCCCGATTTGGAACCGAGCCATTCGCCTCTATTTACTTATGGTCTAGAGGCGGTTTTTCCCAGTCAACAAAGTGCCTGAGTGCCCGTGGCAGTCCGCCGCACTCCACGATTTGTTCCTGACTTTTTCTCACAAATGTGTCTCCTGTGTGCCTATTTGCCTGCTAAAGCAAATATCCAAGTGGTTGACATGGGTTTAGCAAGCACATTCAGCAGGCTTAAAAGCAGCACTCCCAAGCCAACCAGGACAAACTAAGGTAGCCTACAGTTACAGCTGTACTGAACCCCAGCGTGCCTACGTATATGTTCTACAGTGTTGCTGGCATTCCAGTGTTTCCTGTAGTGGCTTAGTTAACAATTTAATGAACATTGCAGTACCAGGTAACTCCATCGGCCACCAGAGATGGCTTTTTACGTGGGACATGGGCCCGAGGTTCACCATTAAAACATATAAGTTTGTGTGGATTTCGCTGACCTAGGACATTGTGCTAGCATCCGTACCAACGTAGGTTAATATGAGTGAGGAATTTCTTGGCCTGGCGAGTGACCTTGAGACTGGCACTATAAGACCCGCATGCCACTCACACCCATACTGCGTGTGTCTAGTTGAGGTGAATGTCCCTTCCCCGACTTTCCTATACACCGGAATCCCTTAACTCCCTTGCCATTATCTACATATGGGTAAGGGTGGGGTTTAGCTGATCCAGGCCCAAACAGCACTCCAAGCCAGACAGTCCAGGCCAATTAGCCTGCAGCCACAGCTATTCTGAATCCCAGCACATCTTAGTGAATGTTCTACAGTGTTCACTGTACCATTGTTTTCCTGCATCGAGGAAGCAACTCCCGGGGAGTCCAAGCCCGTGCTGCCGAGGAAGCCAATGTGAATCTGCTCCCCTTGGGGTCTGCACTGCTTTGCATTGCCAGTAAAATTACAGTAAAAGCAAATATTTATCTAGTTGGCTTAGTGTGGGGCTGATAAGCCAGATGGCTTTTTTAAAAAGTGAGCAATGTTAGGGTTTGAGCATGGTCTCTACCACCATCACCCACATATCTCTCCATGCTTTTAATGTTCAAACCACCGCTCGCAGACCAGGTGAAAAAAGAAGATATTCTGGCGCCAACAAAGAGGCTCTGTGAGTCACAGAAGAGCGCATATTCATCCCTCAGAAGTCGACTGTCAAAATGCTGTTAACTACGTCACCTTTCTTTCACCGCTACACTAGAATTATTCTGATCATCCGCAACAGTGTTTTTACTTTATAGACAGTTAACTGTCATTTGTAAGCCTGATTAAGACTTTTAAAAGGCTCAAAGTGTATTTCATGTAGTGACTCCTTACATTTATTAAACAATT